ACGGCCAGGAGTGGACCCTGAACACAGAACCAGAGGTAAGTCATATGTGACCCCAAAACAAAAACAAAGTGACGGAGAATTGAAAAATGTGAGAAATGATCATTCCACTCTTCATGTAAGAAAACTGAATCACTGAAAATGCATGGGCATGCTTTTAGACCTATAGAAGTTCCCCCAATAAAAAGAGAAAACACTGAGTGTTCTGCTTTATGATCTGAGATACTGGCGCTTTGCTCTCCAAGACCAGTTTAGGATGGAAGCCATGTCATCTACCAAGTAGGTGTCAGAGAGAGATAACATAAATCATGCCTATTGGATATACATACTGACCTATATATAGGCTTTTATATAGAGGTAGATAGATCACATTCCATGATACATATTCTGAAATATGATATGTAGAGAAATAACATAAACTTATATATAAAAACAAACACTGTACTCCTGTTGTTCATCGATTTGCTCAAGTGGGCCCTGTAATGTCTCCATTTTGAGACTTGTTACTGTGTTTGGAGTATTGAATACGTCACGGGTAGCTTGCCAGGCTTTGCCGTGCAGGCGAGATACTCGCAGTAGCTTTCTGGGCTCTCCGAGTGGGGCAGAGGAATCAGACCCAGCTCGGCCGGGCTGGTTGCACGCAAGGCAAATGCCCTACCACTGTGCTATTGCTCCATCCCAAACTTATATATAAGACTATGGTATATTTATATTACAGGATTATATATATGTGTATATATACATACTGATATGTGTGTGTGTGTGTGTGTGTGTGCGCGCCATGGAATGTGTGACCAGAATTCATCGATTTGCTCGAGTGGGCACCAGTAATGTCTCCATTGTGAGACTTGATGTTACTGTGTTTGGCATATCGAATATGCCACAGAGAGCTTGCCAGGCTCTGCCGTGCGGGCAGGATACTCTCAGTAGCTTTCCAGTTTCTCTGAGAGGGATAGAGGAATCAAACCCGGGTTGGCCCCACGTAAGGCAAACGCCCTATCCACTGTGCTATCTCTCCAGCCTGTGACCAGAGTATCATACTAAAATCTATTCCTTATAGAAACTTTTAAGAAAACAATTGCACGTGAGAAAGTACTAGATTCAAGAGGAAAATACCTTTTTAAAGTCTAACTAAAATTGGAATACTTCCTATTCCCCAAACTTTTGTGAAAGTTCTCAGAAATTTGAGTGGTTGCTTCCTGACTCGTGATTGTCTTCCCTGCTTTTATCTAACTCATTTCTTAAACACTCACCCTGGGAACCCAGCATCCCACAAACAATGGCTCTGGCAGATCTTTATAAAACAGACTCCTCAGCCAGCTCAAAAGGGGAAAAGGCAATTTAAAGGATTCATTTTGACTAAACTCTAGGAGAAACAATGATGCAACTGCAATGGTGCTGTTTGTTTTCTTCTATTGAATTTTCCTAGGCTTTGATCTTACGTGGCCCAGCCCTAAATTAACTTCCTAGGAAAGAGTATCCATTGTCTGGAGCTTAAGCAGGTTAGTGAAAGAGAATGATTCTGAGTTTCATGTCGGGTTCAATTTGGCAGTGTGAGGTGTGGACAGGGATGGTGTCCACAGGCGACAGACCAAGTGGTCCTCAGAGTGACTGAAGCAATGTGTGCCAAAGGTGAGAAGTGATGAGTACATTCCTGTACAGGAAGACTTTCTGGAGACATCATGTAGAACTAATTTTATATGTTGAACAAGAAAGTGAGCACACCCAACATAGAAATATAATATAGCAGTAGAAATACACTTGTATTTTAGGACCACTTTTCTATTTCAGCCAAGTATTTCAATAGCAATGAGCTCATTTCATCTTCACCAAAACCCAAGTCACTCTAAGAGAAGGACTATAACTGTTTCACAGGTAGTTCTGGGAAACGAAGATAAAACAGGTGGAAGGTCAAAGAGAACCTTCATGCCAACAGACTTTCTAGAAACTAACCCCATCTCTACACTGCTGGGTTTTCTATGGGCTGAGGCACTGATTGTGTTCCTTGCTCCTCTTCCAAGAAATTTATTCAAAGCATGATCTGGACGTGGGGTTGGCTTGGAATCACATCTTGAGACTGATTCCTTGATGGGAGGGATGTGATACTTGATGGGATGTCCAGGTACTCACTATCAAAACTGAGTAGAACTGTAGGACATCCAATCAGTATCTGGGAAATTCTTAGTGCAGGGAAATAGTCTCATCTTGGAATTGGGTGCAGAATTAAGAGCCTAATTTTCCTCATATTGACAATGGATGTGCCCTTGTCAAAGACCAAAAAATAATAATAATAAAACACCTCATGTCCTTTCAGTATTCAAATTTGTGATTATTATTCTAAAATATGCACAAAATCCAGACCTTCTGATAGGTGACCCTCATCCCCAAGCCCTGATGAATTTAGTTGCAACTTTTTTCTATAGAAAAAGCAAACTGGTGTCCCCAAATGCTTATGTCTACATCCTCATTTCTGTGGGCCAATTCCTTCCTGAAGCATTGTGAAAATAAGTTACCACATTTAAGGGCTGAACTGTCAACCACAAAATAGGTGAGATTTGTTTCCAGAGAAGCAAAGTCAGAGACCTTCCCACACACAAACAATATAGCTGCTCTGAGTCCAGACTTCTTCTGTAAAGCTTGCATTACCTTGAACTCTCCCTCCTTATCCTTGTTTCATCCAAAGTTGCTAAGAAACCATGCAAGATAAGATACCAGGAAATCCTCTTAAAAGGTTAAATTTGACATTATCTTGGGTTTGGTCATGCTCAGGCCTAAATAAATAGACATAGCATGTAAAATTTCTTCTCATTCATAATTTACAATGTAGAGACTCATTTCTGGGTAGGGCCATGCCACACGCCCCCGAAACTATCCAGTTCATCACTGTGGGTGCCTATTCTGACTCAATGCCAAGCACGTCTTTGTTGTGATACCCATTTTAAAGTATTGATCAACACAATAAGAAAAGCAACAAAACAACAATAAAGGAATGAGTCGTTGTGCATTGGAATTTTAGCTCCACGTTTTTTTCATCCTCCTAGCCTACATCCCTGTCGCATGCTAGTGTAACCCAATGGCGTCTGTTTGTTCTAAGAACACAAAGAGCCTCAAACCGATCATTCAAGATCTTGATGAAGAACACCTGACAGGGACAAATGGAGATGTTACTGGCGCTTGCTCAAGCAAATCGATGATTAATGGGAAGTCAAGTGATCAAGTGATCAAGTGAACCTACATCCAACCTCAGAGGCTCTATTGTAATTCCACTTAAAAAAAAGTGTTGCACCTTGTCAAAGAACATTCTGGCATGACTTTTAATTTATTTAGTTTTCTAAAAACATATTTTTGGTGGCGAGAACTCAGGCATACAAAGTTTTATTTGGCATACAAAATTTACTAAAGAAAAGCACATACATTTCTTTATTTTTTAATTTTTATTAGTGAAAAACCATGAGGTACAGTTGTAGACTTACAATTTTTTGTGCCTGGGTTTCAATTATACAATGATTGAGTACCTATCCCTCCACCAGTGCCCATTTTCTACCACCACGGATCCCAGTATCCCTCCCACCCCCCATCCCCCCATCCCACCCTGCCTCTGTGGCAGGGCATTCCCTTTTGTTCTCTCTCTCCTTTTGGGTGATATGGTTTGCAAAAGAGGAATTGAGTGGCAATCATGTTTGGTCTATAGTCTACTTTCAGCATGCTTCTCCCATCCTGGGAGGATCCTCCCAACACCCTTTATTTGGTGCTCCCTTCTCTATCTGAGCTCCCTTTTCCCCTAGCATGTGTGGCTGGCCTCCAAGCCATGGAGTGAACATCCTGGTACTTATCTCGGCTATTCTTGGGTGTTAGTCTCCTATTTTGTTACTTTATCTTCCCCAGATGAATGCAATCTTTCTATGTCTGTCCCTCTCTTTCTGACTGATTTCACTTATCATGATACTTTCCATGTAGTACCACTTGTATGTAAATTTCATCTTTTCTAACAGCTACATAGTACTCAATTGTGTAGAAGTACCAAAGTTTCTTTAACCAGTCATATGTTCTCGGGCACTCAGGCTTTTTCCAGATTCTGGCGATTGTAAACAGTGCTGCAAACACTCCTGAAATTCATATGGAACAATAAGCCCCCATGAATAGCAAAAGCAATTATTTGGTGCTCCCTTCTCTATCTGAGCTGCCTTTACCCCTAGAGTGTGTGGCTGGCCTCTAAGCCATGGAGTGAACAACCTGGTATTTATCACAGCTGTCCTTGGGTGTTAGTCTCTTATTTTGTTACTTTATTTTACCCAGATGAATGAAATCTTTCTATGTCTGTCCCTCTCTTTCTGACTCATTTCACTTAGCATGATATTTTTCTTGTAGTACCACTTGTAACCTCCCGAACTTCAAACTCTACTACAAAGCAATAATAATTAAAACAGCATGGTACTGGAACAAAGGCAGAGCTGCAGACCAATGGAACAGGATTGAATAATTTGACACCTCCCCCCAAATATATGATCATCTAATCTTTGTCAAGGCAAAACTGGACGGCTACATGCAAAAAATGGACTCAGATCCCTGCCTAAAAACACATTTTTAAACTTTTTATTTTAGAGGGGTTCCCAAGCAATGCTCAGGAGGACCTGGGACCACTCTCTTAACCAAATAGGCCATGTAGTTCCATAATTGGGTCTTGCAATGCAAAACACAGGTGCTGGGAGTGGCCAGGGTCACCCTCATGGTGCTTGAGGCTGTCAAGGTCTTGTATATCACTGCTCAGGAGGCTGGGCAGTACCAGTGAGCAATCTCAAGGCCTCATTAATAGAAGGTGTGTGTACTCAAGCCCATTAAGTTATCTCCCCAGCTGACATATCTTCTATTAAACTTTATATTAATTTAATTAATAGTAAATGAATGTGTATTAATTCAGGCACTGATATTAGGGACGTTAGTGCCTTTAGAAAGAAATATCACCAATTAAAATTCAAATTAAATTTAGGAGCCTAATAAAGCAGAAATCAAATTTTCTGTTCTGTTATTTTCTCTTCCTTGATATTTGGGGGCCATGCTAATCTTCTCTGTATCGTTCCAATTTTAGTATATGTGCTGCCGAATGGACTGGAGCGATAGATAGCACAGCGGTAGGGCATTTGCCTTGCACACAGCCAACATGGCTGACCCGAGTTCGATTCCTCCGCCCCTCTCGGAGAGCCCGGCAAGCTACTGAGAGTATCTCACCCGCACGGGAAAGCCTGGCAAGCTCCCCGTGGTGTATCCGATATGCCAAACACAGTAACAAAGTCTCACGATGGAGACGTTACTGGACCCACTCGAGCAAATCGATGATATTTGGGGATCTCAGGCCAGAGCTTTGGCTCTGAGTTCCATGGGGTACCAAAAAGCTATACCCTAAGATACTAGCTTGGAATCATTTGATATGTGAGCTGGGGGTATAATTTAGTGATAGAGCACTTGCCTTGCATCTGTGAGGTCCTAGATTTAATCCCCCACACTACCAAAAAGGGGGGTGAGGAGTGGGGTATAGAATATAATTCCATATGACGTGGAAGGACTTTCCAGATGTCAATGGGAGGCGACCATTTTCCTCCCTCGAATACTGTTCTGTCTTATGTCCTTTAAAAATTCTGGACTCCAGGGGCTCGAGCAATAGCACAGCGGGTAGGGCGTTTGCCTTACACATGGCTGACCTGGGTTCGATTTCCAGCATCCCATATGGTCCCCCAAGCACCGCCAGGACTAATTCCTGAGTGCATGAGCCAGGAGTAACCCCTGTGCAACGCCAGGTATGACCCAAAAAGAAAAAAAATTCTGGAACCCAGACACTGTGAAACTGAATTTGTGCTGGATTCCAATATTCTTTTTTTTTTCACTATCTCAATAGTACCCTCTTGGGAAATGATCATACAGTTTAGGGTTCCTGTTGAAAGTAAGAGGCTTTCAAAGCCTGCCACTCCTTATGTATGGAACAAGCTGTAAAGCACGTTGCGATTAGCTATGCTGGCAAGGGGTTGAAGGAAACCCTCTGGTAGGCTACATCTCAATGTGCATGCTCACCCTTTCCTCCTACCACTCTCCTGCTACAGAACACAGCCACTACCCTACACACAGCAGAGATGCTGGCTGTCTCACGTTCCCAGTGGGAAGCTTCTGTTTTATACAGGGGTGAACCCATTATTATAAGAGAGATTGGAGGAAGCATTCCACAGTAAGGAGTGTCTGATGTTTCAAATTCTAGTTGTTCATATCCCTCCTCTTCCCCTTTTTGTATCTCTCACCCTTACCCTAATATCGCCCAAGATAAGCTATCAGAAGGTATAACATTTGTCTGAATCATTTTCACAAGGTTGTTACTGCTCCCTGCCGCATTTCCCTGCCTTACAACAATTCAAGCCTGAATCCTCCTTGTAGACAGACAGAAAGCCAATGTACATGCATATGCATGTTCATACACACACACACACATACCACACACACACACACATACCACACACACACATACACACACACACACACATTCTCATGCAGAATCCTAAATGCTTATTGATCTGAAGATGGACTCCCAGAATGAGGAATCCTGGACCCTTTTTCAAGTTCTTACATGCCATGCCAGAAATAAGAGAGAGGAGCTAAGTGGAGAGAAATGGAATGAAAGAAACTGAGAAGGGGAAAGAGATCAAATAAACCACATGGCAGCCACTCCAGGGCTCAGCAGCAGCGAGATTTACCGCACTAATATGCCAGGCTGCTGCCATAATTAGTTTCTGTAAAAACTGTATCTCCTAGCTCCAATTCAATTAAATCACACTGTGTTTATTTGAGAGCTTTCTTATTACATGATAGGAGGGCTGGCCGGGCCCCAAGCCCAGTGTACCCACCTGTCCCTGGCCTGGCACCGTTTATGTGTCACTCACATAATTTGCAGTGGCCAGGCAGCCAGACGATGAATGGGTGAGTGTTTGTGCTGACAAAAGTGCAAGGAGCTGCCATGCTGGACAGGGATGTCCCTGAATCACGCCATTTTCTGCAGAACTTGAAAGGGAAACACGCTACCAAAATGGACCCCTAACATGGGTTTTTTTTTTTTTGAAAAATCAAACCCAAAAAGAAAAAATTCAGTAACAACTCTTGGGGTCCAGGAGGCAAAAATAAGAGTGTGTGTTTCTGAAGAATCACTTCTGAGAGCAGGTTGTAGATTTGGAGAAGATCCTGATGCCGGCACAAAGAAAAACATCAGACTCAGGAAGGAAGCCCATGTCTGAGGGCGCCCAGACACTACACTGCAGTACTCTGGAGTGAACGTGCTTTATAGGGAGCTCCCATGGCTTGGAATGAATGAGCAGCCCTTCCAGAGGCCCTCGGAGGAGGAGAGTCACATCCAGGCCAGGCTAATCAAAGAGATTTCTACACAACAGCTTGCTTCCCTGCAAGGCCAGGTTCTTCCTCCTGACATGGAAATCAATATTAAATTAAATCTGTGTGCTGCATCTCCACGGGTAACTTCCTAACCTTCTTTCTTGGCCAATCATGATTCCTTCACCCTCATCAATTCCACTTGAATAGCTTTTTATTGTTACCCTGGTTTTATTTGCCAGCAAAGTTCACTTTCCCTGGGGAGAGAATAGTACACTGCAGCATCAGCTCACCCCATTACTAAAGAGTTCACCAGAAAATTCATCTCTGTAAACCACCATCTCCAGGGAAGAAGAGTAAAAGATCATTGTCTAGCTCCTTAAGAAAATAATGTATATATTTATTTTTGTTTGGGACTACTTCCAGTGGTACATGGGGGCTTACTCATGGTCTGTGCTTAGGGGCCACTTCTGGTGGGCTTAGTGTGGTGCCAGGATGAAACTTGGGTGGGTCACTTCACTGTCACTGTCACTGTCTTCCCATTGTTCATTGATTTGCTCGAGAGGGCCCAATAACATTGTGAGACTTGTTGTTACTGTGTTTGCCATATCGAATACGTCGCAGAGAGCTTACCAGGCTTTGCCTTTCCGGTGAGATACTCTCGGTAGCTTGCTGGGAAGAGGAATCAAAGGCGGAGGAATTGAACTCGGGGTCGCCTACCTGGCCATATGCAATGCAAACGCCCTATCCGCTGTGCTATTATCCAGCCCAGTGGGTCACGTACAATACAAATTTCTTACCTGATGTACTATTGCTTCTGCCCCACATTATCTAACTTTTAACCTAACATCTCATCTCCCGCTAACTAGCTCCAGATCCTTCCCAGCTTCATCCAGGGAATATTGAGCTCAGGCAGAACCTGGTCTGAAAAATCATTGTGAATATGTGAGGAGTTTCTCTCTCCTAATGGGTTATTATTTGCTGGCGTCCTCCCCTCCCTTTTTTCAGTCAGGTTCAGACCTGTGCTCAAATAGTCCCAGGCTAGGGCTCAAGGCTACAGTGCTGCGCAGACCCATCAAGGCCAGCTCCTCTAAGACTATACCCAGAGGTGCTAGGGTGGGGGACACATAGTGCCCGGTTTCAGGCTAAGGTGCTGGCACTGCTAGCTACAGACCTCTTGGCTCAGCTCCACTTGCTCTCAGCTTAATCTTCTAACTTCCTTTTTTCACTTGAATTCATCTAGGTGATGATGGTTGTTAGTTGATACTGCACTTGAAAACGTAACTTGAAATTACCTCTTTAAAAAAAAATAAGCACTCTGACTTACGAAGCTGTCAACAATAGAATTTCAGGCACAGAATCTTGCAACTCCAATCCCACCCCCAGCGTCAGCATATCTGCAGGTCCCCTCCCAGACAACCAGCCTGTCTCTTAAAAGTCACTTATTAAAATTAAACTATAGTATCTTGGGTTCAATAAGCAGCACTGTTCTTATAGAAATGTTAACTGACTGTAGTGTTTTTTGGTTCTTTTGGTTTGGGGGGGGCCACACTCAGTGGTGCTTAGTAGCTACTCCTGGCTCTGTACTTAGGAATTCCCCTTGCTGGGCTCGGGGAACCATATGAGTGTCAGGATTGAATCTAGGTCAGCCACAAGCAAACAAGGCAAACACCCTACCTGCTGTACTATCTCTCTGGCCCAACTGTATTGATTTTTTTTTAAATTGTGTGTGTGTGTGTGTGTGTGTGTGTGTGAGAGAGAGAGAGAGAGAGAGAGAGAGAGAGAGAGAGAGAGACATCCTGCAATGTTCATTGTCTCTGCATTCAGAAATTACTCCTGGCAATGCTCAGGGGACCAAATGGAATACCAGGGATACCCAATACTGGTCAGCCGCGGGAAACGCAAACATCCTACCCGCTGTACTATAGCTCCAGCCCCCCCCAACTGTAGTCATTTTGATGTACACAAATGCCTTGCCACTAAAACAGCATTGAGTCCAAGGCCCTTGACCACTGGACCGATGTTAGCTCCAGTTAAAATCCTCCAAGGCTTAACATGCGGAATGAATTTAAGTGAAATTCATTCATTCATTCATCATCCTGTTATTCGTCGATTGCCTCGAGCAGGCCCCAGTAATGTCTCTTTCATCCTAGCCATGAGATCATATTCAAGGCTATTTAGGAGAATGAGACCCATCATTGTTACTGGTATTTGGCATATTTGGTACGCCACGGGGAGTTTGCCAGACTCTGCCCTGTGGGCAGGCTACATTCGATAGCCTGCAAGTTTGTCCAAAATAGGAATGAGACAATAAGATGTCATAAAAAAAAAGTTCTGATAAGATGTCGCGTGGCCCTGCGGTTCCGGGATCTGGATTTTATAGTCTCTGAGTCTTGGCCGCTGATGGGATTACACGGCGCCAGGGGGCCAGGTGGTGGGTGTGACCCCCGCCTACTGGAATTTGGAGGATCTGGGTGGAAGATGCTCTACTCCAATTCGAGTAGGCTTGGAGGTCTCGGCCCCAGAACCCGCGTGACTTTGTCCCTCTGCCAGTACCTTCATGTGTGCGGAGAGTGGTCTCAGCATGGTGGTGGCTGGTCCTGGAGGTCTTCGGCTGCCGGAGCCCTGGTCGGGGCGGGGAGGAAAGCTCAACCCACTCCCCTCCAAGGGGCTCCGGGAAGGAACACCCAGGCGCGGGGGCAGAAGACTGCACTGTTCTCGTCCGGGATCTGGATTTTATAGTCTCTG